AAGGAGCTCCACAGGGTCAGAGTCTTCAGAGGTTAAGAAGGATGTGGCTCAAGAAAAAGCCATCGGGTTTGACGATTAAATCGATAACTCTGGAGAGAGCAGATTGACGAGGATGGGCGCCAGACAGCAGGAGGTTTAGAAGGGAGGAAAAGTGGAAGCCCGTAGGATAGACGGCTTTCTCCAGATAGTGAACCAAGAAGGAGGATACAAATATGGGAACAAGAGCTAGAGGGGACGGCTGAATCAAGTAAAGGTTTTGTTGGGTTTATTTTTTAAGAACAGGCAGCTGGGAAGGAGCCAGTACATAGAAATGGAACGTTAAAGCAAGAGTAGAAATTATAGTGGGGGCAGGGTGCTGAAGAGGACAGGCTGGGATGAGCTCAAGAATGTGTATAGAGGGGTTGATCTTGTCTAGGAGGATCACCTCGCTATCTGAGTTGGGGATGAAGGGCAGGATAGCTGGGGAAGATGGCTGAGTGATGGGAGACAATGCTTGCTTCTTTCCTCCCATTAAAATGTAATCATTTCACCACTGTTTAGCCCCTTCCAGTTGCTTCCCTGTATTGACCTTTCAAATGCCTCTGACACAGCCTGGCTGTGTGACCCTGGACCAGTCACTTGGCTTCTCAGTTTCCTAGGCAGCTCTCTATGATGATAAGTTGCAATGAAGGTGCCATCCTGCATGGTTAGAGACAATTTCCTCAACCAGGAATTCCCTATACCAATGGAATCACTGTCCTGTTTCTATCCCTATTAACCTTTCTAGGTTTCTCTTGCCTCCTGTGTTTACACTGCATCGATTCTATTCAGCTCTGATCTTTTCACCAGGAACACTTGAAAGTTCTCTATTTCGTTAAAAATCCATTTTAACCCCTCCCCCCAGTAGGATTATATTCATCAGTACAGGGTAAGTTATTATTGGTTGTGTATATTCTTGGCTTATCTTTTGCATTTTGGCCCATCTCTCAACCTCAGTTTTCTCATTCATAAAATAGCAATTTTATGAAAGCCCCTCCTGCTTCAGAGGGTTGATGTGGGAATGAGTCTGAAGGCAGCTTGTTAGTTAGAAAGCATTATTTCAATGGAGGCATCGGCAATATCTCCTCCCTCCTTCTGGACACTAGACCAGCCCAGGACTGCCCAACCAACCCACTGGCCGATCCACAGAGCACGCTGCTTGCTGACTCATGCTGAATTGACAGGGATAAGGGCCCTCCCCGCCCCGCCCCCCGGCTCTTTTGCATGAGCTGCCGTCTGGCTACTGTTCTCCCATCCTGTACTGAGCAGTCTTCCAAAGAGGAAAAGACCACGATTCTGACAGGCACCAGACAGCTATGCCCAAACTTCTGGCTGAAAATAGCTTAAGGGAAGGAAGCGGAATATCGCTAGAATGCGTAGAAGGAGCCATCAGCCTCAGACAACATGAGGAATTTCTTGTAGTGATAGAATGTAACCCTCTACCGATTTTGGATAGTATCCCATTTTTTTCAGCCTTGTCTTCTGCTCGTCTCCTGCATGAGCCCTCTGCTCCTCTAACAATAAGGACTCTCATTTCCACACACATTCATGTTTACAGAGACTTTCCTCACCACATTCCTCTGGGGCAAGGGCTGTGAGTACTGCTAATCTCATCTTACATATAAGGAAACTAAGACCCAGAGAGGTTATTATTATTAATAAAAGTAGCAATTGACATTTATTTAGCCATTTAAGGTTTGCAAAGCACTTTAAATACTTTAACTCACTTCAGTCCTCCTAACAATCCAATGAGACGGGTACTGCAGTTACTAATAACTACATTTTACAGATGAGGAAACTGAGGCTCAGAGAAAGGAATGTGATTTGCCCAAGGTCATCTCATTAAAAAAGTGTAAGAACAGGGATTCAAAGGTAAATCTCTTTACTCCACATCTATCTGCCATGACTCAGTTGTCAGTTGTCAATAACAATGGCTTGCATTTATATTGGCATCTACCTTATCTACTACTCTCTTTTCTGCATCTATATTTAGCACTTCCTTTCTACTTCCTCCTCTTGGTGATCACAGGTTTGCCAGCTGGGTGTCCAGCATCATGGCCAGGCTATTAGCATTCCCACTGGTTCAATGACACAGTCCGGGCCACTTGGCTCACCAAATTATAGATCAAGAACTTCCACTGATGCTTCTCTTTAACAATCAGCCAGTAGACACAATTGGACTGAAAAAATAAAAGGATTAAATAAGATGACATATTAAAAATAGTAATGACAAAGCATTTGCCCCATTAGCTTCTCCACAAATACATTCTCACATAAATACACATAGAGTCTGTGAGAAGAGTGGGCATAAACTTGGTGTAGTAGAAGGGTAGGGAACACAAATGATCAAGATAAGTTACAGCTCCAGTACAATGAGGCTCTGATGTGCTTTCTCTCCTGGTGGTATCCTCACATGGATCCCTGAGTTTCACATCTCTGCTGGGAGTTTCACTTAGCAACACTATCTGTGTCTGCTCTTCTCCACCAAGTGCTCCAATATGTAAGGGAGAAATCTTTGAATCTACAAATACCTTTCTTTTTGCTCTGTAGCTATGTAGCTCGATGGATAGAGTGCTAGATTTAAAGTCAGGAAGACTTGAAATCAAACCTTCCCTCAGAGTCTTACTTAGCTCTGTGACCCTAGACAAGTCGCTTAACCTCTGTTTGCCTCAGTTTCCTCACATGTAAAATGGGGATAATACTAGCACCCACCTCCCAGGGTTGTGAGGATCAAATGAGGCCATGTATGCAATCCTTAGAGAGCTATATAAGTGCTATTCATTATTTTTACTGTTGTTATTTTATTATTATCCTCTCCTTCCAGGGATCATATTCCTTGAAAATGCTTTGTTCCCTAAATGACTGCCCATTTGTGTCATGGGACAGTCAGGAGAATGGGCATCTCTGCTCTCTCATCTGTGCCTGGAATTAGGTCGCCTCTTGAGGTCAAAATCATTTTTGTTCATGCATTATAACCTATATCCACCCACCGCACATGTTTCCACTGCCCCCTGGTTCACTTGCAAATCTGATTCACTCACTATCACCAGAAGAATTGGGTTGAACCTATGATTCCATTGATATAGGGAATTCCCAGATGAGGAAACTCTACTTATAGGTCGTCATGTTCTCTGGCGGTTAAATTCTTAGAGTTGCCTAGAGCATTGAAAAGGTTAAATGACTTGCCCAGGGTGACACAGTCAGGATATGACAAAGATAGCTCTTCGTGATTCTGAAGCCATCTCTCCAACTAGTGCACCATGAATCTTCCCATTAGAGGAATATTGGCATGAATAGATGGTTTTTGTTTCAGGAGACAACTTGGGATCATCGGATATGCAGCTAGGGAGCAGTAGATAGAGTGCTGGGCCTGAAGTCCGGAAACCTGAGTTCAAATTTGACCTCAGACTCAGGGCCAGTCACTTAACCTTAGTTTGCCTCACTTCCCTCATCTGTAAAATAGGGATTATAATAGGTTATTGTGAGGATCAAATGAGATAATATTTGTCCAAAGTGCTCAGCACAGCTCTAGATACATAGTAGGCACTATGTAAATGCTTATTCCCTTCCCCTGCTTCACCACATGAATGTTATCTATGATTACTATTTGAATCTTCTTGGTCCAGCAGGGTGACATCTTGACTTGCATGTGAATTGGATTTAAGTGAGGCAGGGCTCTGCAAAGTCACCAGCCTCACTCTTCTCCCAAGCCAGCTGGGTCCAGTGTGGAGATATAGATCAGGATGAATGGAGACAGCCTCAGATGCAGTGGGAGGCCTTGACCTTTTTAAGTTAAGGTATTTTCTGGGTCTCGGTTTGTCTGAAGCAACACCCAATCAGCGATTAAGGCTAGGTAAGAAATGAGGCAAAAAATGGCCTCTTTTAACTACTTTAAAAAAATCAATCTGGGAGGGGAAGACCCTCAGCGTTCCTGGCTAAAACTGAAACCATTGCTATTTACACTCACTCTGAGCCACAAAAACCCAAACAATGACCAGGTGGAGGTTGGGCTGAGACCTCTCATTGGCCAATCAGTGAGAGCCAGAGTGATCTGGGTTGAGGGCATGGTCAGGCAGCTCCATTTGAATCCCATGGGGCTTAATGAAGCCAGATTTTTCCCTGTACTGTATTTTGGCCATGGAGCCCAACCCTTACCAGAACAGGAATCTATCTCCTCTACAACATATTCAAGCAGAATTCGTCACCCAGATGACTCTGGCAGACCTCTAGTGAGCTCATCATTGCCTGAGGTGACCCATCCCATTTTGGACAGCTGGGACGATTAAGAAATTTTTCCTTATCTCTTGCCAAAACCTTAGCTCACTGGAACTGCCACCCCCTGATTCTGGTTCTGCTTTCTGGGACCAAGCAGAATAAATCCAATCCCTCTTGCTCACCGAGCTCTTCAAATAACTGAAGACAGTCCCAATCTCCCTAAGCCTTCTTTTCGACAGACCATCCATCTCCATTCCCTTCTGGGGATCCTCATCTGGTCTAGTGTTCAGTCTCCTCAACATCCTCATCTTACAATCATGGAATCACAGGAGAGCTGGGAGGGACCTCAGAGATTAGTTGATTGAACCTCCTCATTTTATAACATAAATGATTTGCCCAACGTCATGCAACTAAGTCACTAGCAGGACCAGTTCTAGAATCTAGGGCTCCTGACTTCCAGCCCAGCATACTGGGCTACTGTACTCCTTATATACACTGCCTCCTTATATCATATGAGTCTTGAACTCCTTCACGAATATCACATTCCTCCTCAAAAATCTTCAGTGGTTCCCTATTTCCCCTAAGATCAAATGAAAATTTCCCATTCTGACATTTAAAACCTCACGTCATGTGGTTCCCAACTATGTCTCTGACTCATTTCTTGTTGTTTCTTCATACATGCTCCATCACAGTCAGACCAGCCTGCTGTTTCTTGTCCTACCCCAGTGGCTTGGCAACAGATTCTCTTTCACAACCGAAATATAATTCCTCCTCCACTCCACTCCCCTTTCCTTCCCTCTCTAGAATCCTTAACTTTCTCCAATGCATCTAAGGCCTTACCTCCTAAGCAGGTCTTCCCTGAATCCCACAAGAGACAGTGACTTTTGCTTCTTGAAATAACTTTGTATTTATATTTATTTATCTATGTCTATGTATTTCTCCTTCAACTCCCCGGTTAACAGGTAAGCATTAGAAGGTAAAGATGCTTTCTTCTTTTTTTTTTTCTTTTGTATCCCCTGTACCTAGCTTAGAGACTCACAGCAGGTACAGTAATAAATATCTATTGAACTTAATTGAATTAAAATGTAATGATTTTGAGTACTGCCCTTTCTATTCTTTTCTCTTCCCCAGAGATTTTTTAAATTTCTGTGTATTTCAGGAGGCGTGGGCAGCTTGAGCCTAGACAGGAATGAGCTGGTCTGAATGGTCCAGGAGATTATTAACTGTGAGAAACAAGGTAGGACTCTCCAAATGAAGGACCTTGGGTGAAGATCCCTCTTCCCCTGCCTGGAGGATATTTGGTCACAATGTGGCCAGTGAAGTAGTATCCTATCCTGAGAACTGCCTTAGGCAAGCACAGGATTTAGAGTAGGATCTCTGGCCTGTGCCCCAGGATGAAAACAAAACCATGATTTATATATAGCCTTTTAGATTGAAAGGGACCTTAAAGATCATGGATGTAGGATTGAGTCTAAAAAAAATTGCTAGCATTTATATAGAACGTTATGGTTTGCATAACACTTTACAAAATATCTCATTTTGTTTTATCCTCAGATGGCAATGGGAAGTAGGTACTATTATTATCTTACATTCGATAATATTTATAGCACCTAATACAGTGCCTGGCACATAGTAGGTGCTTTATAAATGCTAATTATATCATTGTTATTGTTATTATTTTACTGTTGTGGAATTAAACCATAATTAATGTGTGCCCAGGGTCACACATCTAGTGAGAATCTGAGACCACATGTGAACTCAGGTCTTCCCAACTCCAGGTCCAATGCTCTGTTTATTCACTGGGTCACCTAGCTGCCCTCAAAATTTCAAAGTAACAAGTATAGAAATATAGGATGAGTATGTGGTTAGACAGCAATTTGTATGAGAAAAATCTGGGGGTTTCAGGGGATTGCAAGCTTGCTAAGTGCTAACAGTTCAGTGTGACTGCTTTAGAAGACTCAGTACCTCTGCCCTAGTCAGAGGACATCTGGAATCTGGGTTTCACCATATATTTGGACAAAGCTGGGGGCTGGCCATGGAAACTAACCAAGATGGTGAAGGGCCTTGAAACCATTTCATCCAAGGATCTGTTAAAGGAAATGGGGATGTTTGGCAAAGGGGAGAAGAGAAGTTAGGGGCAAAATGGTCTTCAAGTATTTGAGTATTTGTCATGTGGACAAGGAATTGGACTTGGTCAGCCTGGCCTTAGAGAGCAGAATAGAACTAGAAGCAATGCTTGCTGGGAGTTAAAGGATGGCAGACTTGGGGCTGCATACACATGCGCAGGAGGGTGAGTGAGGACCATTCCTGTCTCTTTTGTGGCCATTGCTACCCCTGGCTCTACCTCTGCCCTAGCCCAAGGCCCTCACAGGTATTGCTGCCCTTACCATCTGGGGAGGGGGCACTTGAGGGTAACCCTAGTTATAGTATTGGAGCCTTTACTTTGGACTTCCTCTCCCAACCCTGCCCCCCCCCTCCCCCAATTCTAGTAGGTTGAGTTCCCAGAACTACCTAGCAAACATCTCCCCTTCAGGGTTCTAGGGTTTCTTTTTTTTTCCTCTGCTTTTTGGTGAGGCTATCAGGGTTAAGTGACATGCCCAAGATCACCCAGCTAGTAAGTGTCAAGTATCAAGTGTCTGAGGTCAGATTTGAACTCAGGTCCTCCTGATTCCAAGGCCAGAGCTCTATCTATCGTGCCACCTAGCTGCCCCCAGGGTTCTAGGGTTTCAATGAGAGGTTAGGGGGTGATTTTCTCTAATGTTCAAGTCCCATTCCAATGTGTTCTCTCCAACATCAATCAGTATTAGTACGCCAGGTTTTTGTTTGCTTGTTCGTCTTAACCAGGGATGGGGAACCTGTGGCTGTAAGGCCCCATGTGGACTTCTAGGTCCTTAAGTGCAGCTTTTTGGTTTTAACTGGTTAACATTGGTTGGCTTCATAAAGGATATTTACTGAGAAGAAAAAGCAAGAACAGAAGCACTAACATTTCTTCTTAGCAGTGGGGCACACTCTCTTTTATACCATTGAGGTCCCTGGGGAAGGTGGGCTCAACCCTGAAGCCATTTCTAGCTGGCCTTCACCCCACCAAGTTCACTTCTGAATTAGGGCACAGGGATAGATGAAAGCTCCCTCTTGGTCAAGCAAGTCACTCGGGGCCTGGATCCACACTGGTTGGCACAGCTGGCTTCTGGACTTCTGCTGGCTCACCCTTCTGACCCTCCTAGCTCCTACGGGTGTGGCCATTTTCAATTCTCTTTCACCTTCTTGCAAGGAACAAGCCCAGGTGTGTGTGACAGGCCTCTGGTCGGCCTCAGGAGGGTGTGAGCCTAGGAATCCACTCAGAGGTTACCTGAAAAGCAGCTGGGCAGGAAGCCTGATGGCCGGCTTCAGTCAACTGGCACCTTGAGAATGCACCTCAGCTCAGTTCCGGCCAGCGGCCAATCAATGGCCCACCTCTTCCATTAATCTTTAGTCAGCAGACTGGAACCAGTCGCAGAACATTTGTGCCAGCTCCAAATGGAGGCCTACCTCCTAATAAGTCAACCAATCACGGTTGATTGGCACCCCTTGGGAACATATAAGGGGCATATAAGGTTGTACCCCAAAATCCTAAACTGAGGCAGTTCTAAACTGGCCCTCTTAGGGGCTTAGTTTTGGACTGACCTCCCATGCAATGCACATCAAGCCACTTTGAGAAATTAAACTGTGGACGTATGTACCCCAATTTTATTTGTCTCTTTCTTAGAGCAGACTGTTTCAAATTGGGGTTCGTGGGGTTCATGGGGTTCTGGGTTCACTATATATACACATATATGTGTGTATACATATACATATATATGTGTATGTATGTATGCTAGCTATTTATTATATTTATTCTCTGCCTTTCAGGTCTTCCTTTGAGTCAGATGTCAGCCTCCAGGCCTTTCTTCCTCCTTCCTCAGAGAGTTCAGACCCAAAATCACACTGCTAGTAAACACCCAAGGAAGGATTTGAACTCAGGCATTCCTGACTCCAAATCCGGTATGTTCGGTCTGAGAGGTTGTGACCCCTGGAAGACTAGAGTACACAACTGGGTCATCTGGAACGAATTCACAGACTCAAGCATTCTTCAAGCCAAGTTGGCAAAAAGTTTATTGTTACGCTTTTCAGTGGGCAAGGATTCTTAAGGATCCTGCAACCTTAGAGTGGTACAGTTAAAGCTTATATAGGATAAAATGCAATAAAACATGTGCCAAATATGCTAACTAGGTGATTCAGGGTGGGATTAAGGAGTGGTTAAGGAGTGGTCAGTTCTTAAAAGAACATGCACTTCTTGTACCTACTGTGCAGGCATTTTACCCAGAGTTCACCAGGAAAAGCCCACAAGGGGGGCCACATGGAGGTGTGGTTTTAGGCCTGCTACGTCACTAAGTTAACTAGAGTTCAGGGGTAACTAAGAGTTGGCCAGTCTGCCACCAGTCAGTGTCTTGTTTGACAAGAGATGTAGGGAGTATACATATGTCTTAAGTCTAGAATACAGATAATGAGGAGTTCAGGATGTAGATAATGAGGTAGGGCGGTAGTGTAGATAGTCCAGTGGCTAAGAATGTCTTTATGACCCAGTGCAAAGCCGTTCAAACTAATAATTCCTTCAGGTGTTGTTTGGAACTGCACCAGGGAAAGAGATAGGGGGCTTGCTGGGGCCCACTCATGAGTAATAGCTAAGCACAGTGTCCTTGGGCTGGGGAGAAACTGAAAGGGACAGTGTTTCTGAGGCTAGGGAGAAACTGGGGTCCAAGTATAAGCACCCAAACACAAGCACCCAAGCACCCCATCACACCCACTATACTATTCTGCTTTGTTCTACATCATTTCAATAAAACACTTTTACTTTGAGCTAAGTTTGTCAGCTGGCTGATTATTAAAGGCAGTACACCGGTCGGGGCTAATGAGCTATGGCTTTAGGAATTCCAACCTGTAGGGTACATTACACATGGAGCAGATGTCACCCAGGGGACCCAACCTTCAAATACAAGTGGGGGAAGGGATAGCCCAGAGCATGTCCTATACTAAATAGCAAAAGACCCAGAGGAAGGCCACCATCATACTGCACCCTCCATGGAGGAAAGACATTGACAAGAACCTCACAGGATAAGGGCCCTTTTGCTAGAGTCCTCTCAAACTATCCCCCTTAGACATAGCATAGCTTTTTCTGCTGGAGTTCTGAGTCTTCCTTTCCTCACCATGCCCCACCTGTTCTTATACTGCTGCCAGCCATTGCTTATCCCAGGAACAATGCTAGGGAAGAGAAAATGGGAAATGTAAAATCCTCCTGACCCCTCCTCCTCTGTCCCAGGGTCTGGAGGAGGAGACCCAGGCAGAGCCTGAGACACTCCGCCCCCACCCCCACCCCAAGGTGACTCCTCTGTGGCTTGGCTAGCACTGCTCTCTCCTGGCACGCCACTCACTCTAATCTCTTGGTTCAGAAACCAGTTCAGTGTTTAGAAGATCCCCAGAGTACAACCAGGTGTCCTTAATCAGCTCCTGAGCTGCCCCCCACCCCAATCCCGTTCATCCAATGCTTTTAGGGCATCTTTGACTGACTGACTTGTGGTTTCACTCAGTTAAGGTATCAGGGCACCATATCTTAGCACATTCTTTAAGCGAGGCAGAAAAATGGTTCTGCCTTCCTAGCCTTATGCATGTCGCTTTTTCAATAGAAAGAAAATTCCAGGAGGTCAAGGATTATTTCTTTGCTATTTTGGTCTCTTCTCTATATAGGACAATACTGGGCACATGAAAAGTGTTTAATAATTGCTTGTTGGATTAGACTGAATTGAATGCAAAAACAAAAGGCACCAGTAAAACATTAAAGATAAAATTTTTATATGACTTGTTAAAAAAACAATAGAATTCTTTCAAAAGTAAGGTAACTAGTGAGCATGAGTCCCCCAGGCTTTAGTCTCATGGAGCTCTATTCTAGTAACAACTGCTCACATCTACTCACAGGGCTTTAATGTTTACAATCATTTTCCTCAAACAGCCCCGTTAGGGAGGTGGTGAAAGTATGATTTCCTCTATTTTACAGATGAAGAAACTGAGGCTCCCCAAGTCTTTGAAGGACTTTTTCAAGGTCACACAGGTAGTAATTGGAGGCAGGGATGTGATCCAAGGTCTCCTGATGCCAAGTACCAGCCTCTGGTACAGCACTGTGACAGATCCCAGCTCTGTCCTTTACCACCTATGTGCCCTTAGTAGGTCACTTAAGGTCATGCGCACTCAGTTTCCTCCTCTGTAAAATGAGAAAGAGCATTGTGTTTGGAGTCAGAAGACTTGGGTTCACATCCTGGTGTTTCCATTGACTACCTTGTGACCTTGGGCAAATTATCTCTCCTCCCTGAGCCGGCCTCAGTTTTCTTCTCTGTAAAAAGGGAGTGAGGCTAGATGCCTCTGAGGTCCTCGGCTCTGGGTCTAGAATCACATCTCTAGTCTGGTAGAGTTCCCAATGCCACCTTGGATACCCAGGCGGAATGAGAGCTCTGTGGGAGCACCTGGGAATTCCCAAGTCCTCCCTCCTCTAAGAGCTGGCTGATTTCTCCACCAGTCCTTTGTAGCCATTTGGATGAACTGGAAAAACAACCCACTTCCCAAACTTAAAAAAAGTTGGTTACTGTCAGCAGGCCAAGATTTTCCCTGCTTGCCTGGCGAGCTGTTCTGATAACTATTCTCCCAGTTGTTCTGAGTAATTGGGTAATTCAGCCTCATACATCCTGTAGCTGTCAGACACGCATCAATCAGGATGGCCTATGGAGCCCACGTTTGGCCGAGAATTCCAGATTACTTGGGAAGTCCTAGAGCAGGCGACATCCAAGCTGGGAGGGACTTCAGAGCCTAGAATGTCTGAGCTGAAAAGAGACTCAGAAATCCTCTGTTTTATGGCATTAGCTAACATTTTTAAGGACTTCTTATCTCATTTATCTTCAAAACAACCTTGGGAGATAGGGGAAAGCGAGTATTTCTATAGCACCTACTATGCCCCCAGTCTTGTGCTAAGAGCTTTTACAAATAATCTTTTATTTGACCCTCACAAAAAACCCTGCAAGGCTGGTGCTGTTATCTCCTTTTTACAGTGGAAGAAACTAAGTGACTTGCCCAGGGTCACTCTAGTAAGTGTCTGAGGCCAGATTCAAACTCAGGTCTTCCTGACTGGGAGTCCAACACTATCTACCATACCATGCTGCTTCCCCTCTCAAGTTTATTGTTTTCTAACTGTGAACCCAGAGAGAATCCACAGCATTTTGGCTATCCTAGGCCTTTACACCTAAAGACTTAACTTAAAAAAAACCCCACTGACTCCTGCTTCCCTGCATTTTACTTATCTCACTCCCAGCTACTCCTTCTCCCTCAAATATAGACTTCACAGAATAGAGATACTTCGCCAGTCCATGACATAGTTAGATTTGGGAAAGATTATAGGATTATAGCTCTAGGGCTGGAGGGGCTCTGCAAGGCAGCAAGAGCAGTCCTTCATTTTACAGAAAAGGAAATGATGCCTAGAGATTCTCAACTCCTCTCAGCATACATATTGATTCTCCCTCAAACCCTAACCACCAAGTTCCTCATACTACTCATTTTCCATGACCTGCTCCTCCCCCCCACATCAGCCACACACAAAGATGGTCACACCCTCAGTCTTGCCATCACCCCCAAATGAACCACCACCATATTCAAGAATTCTGGAACTGCTTATCCAATCATAACCACTCGGCTTTTCTCTCCCCTTGCAAAGCCGTATTCTTCCTCTGCACCATAGATTCCTCTCCAGTCCCCTTGACCTCTCAATTCTCTCCCAGGCCATCTCCCCATGCACTGGCCACTTTCTCTTCTTTTCTCCATCTTGGTACCTTGGTAAACCAATTCAACTCTACACTGTCCTCCTCTCTTGAATTCCCAGCCTCTGATTATGCCCAGCCAAGCCTCAGCCCCGCATCACCCACCATTCATTGCCTTCACTCTTACACAAATGCTGTTGAATGAAGATGGAGAAAATCACACACCTGTTCTGACTGGGTCCACTACAAATCTGTGTTAAACAACCTCAGCTGGGCCCTCCCCCACTGCTTGGCAATCCTGCCACATTTTCCTTATCCCACTCCTCCAAATCTGCTCCTCCAAAATTTTGCTTCCCTTTTCAAACATCCTATGGATTCTCCTTCCTCCACATTCTCAGCTGAGAACCTTGTCTTATATTTTACAGATAAAATTGAGGCGCTTTCTACTATTTCACTGGGTGATCTCATCAGCTCTCACGGATTTAATTACCATCTCTGTGCTGATGATTCCTGCCCACTCTCTCTGCTGACCTCCAATCTTGCATCTCCAGCCTTCTTTCACAAATCTCAAACTGGATGTCCAGTAGACATCATAAACTCAATATGTTCAAAACTGAACTCAACTTCTTTCCCCAGGACTCTTCTCACCTCCTACCTTCTCTGTTACTGCAGAGAGCAATGCCATCTTCCCAGTTCCTCGGGGTCCCAAGCTAAGAGTCACCCTTGACTCCTCCCTCTCTCTGACCCTCCCTACCATATGGTAGGGTCTGGTGATTTCACCGGTGCAACATCCCCCAGTATGTCCCCTTCTCTCTTTGGACACTGCCTCTACCTGGGTGCAGACCTTTGTCACCTCACAGCTGGATTACTGCAATAGCTTTTGGGAATAGGAGTGGTGATCTTCCTGTCTCAAGGCTCTCCCCTCCAGTCCATCCTCCATTTAACCACCAAAGTGATTTTCCTAAAGCACAGGTCTGATCGTGTAAATCCCCCCTCCCCCTGCCCCACTCAATAAACTCGAGTGGTTCCCTATCACCTCTAGGATCAAATACAAAATCTTTGGTCTTTCAAAGCCCCCTCCTACCTTTCCAGTCTTCTTACCCCTTACTCCCCAAGAAGTTCTCTTCAATCCTGGGACACTGACCTCCTGGCTGTTCCATGAACAAGACCCTCCATCTCTAGAC